ACTGTTTGGCTTTTTTTCTTGTTTGTTGATTTTGCATCCAAGATTTTCAGTTATAACTGCAACTGTGCTGCACATCAGTTGGTTTGTTTCTTGCAGTGAGCTGGTGCTTATATTTGATATTACAATACATACAATTTTAATAAATTATTATTGTTAGTCGCATAGTCAGCCAGTTGTTTAGACTGGATTTGGCATTTTTATCCACCTATTGAAATAAATTATTATTATATTACTATTACTATTACTATTATTCCTTGGTTAAAAACAGGTTTGAGCATGTCAAGGTCTCCTTAGCTTGAGGATTGCCAGCATACAATACAGACCTGGGAAAGAAGGTTATGATAACAGTGACACAGAATACAACATTCATTCAATTATTAAATTAAAATGGTGCCTTTCCATCAGGAGTTCAAGGTGGCATACATAGTATTCCCTTGTCCAAATTTTTTTTCCTGCAACAGACTTATCTGATAGGTTGAGCTAAGAGATAGCACCTGGCCCCAGCTTAATCAGTGAGTGTCCATGGCTGAGGAAAGACTTGAACCTGGATCTCTCCAATTCCTCTTCACCACATGGATGATATAATACTTTAGAACTTGACTGATATAAACACAGGAAGTATACTTGTGATTAAGACAATCAAGTAGAATTATTTTCATAATCTCCTCATATGACAACTATGTTGTAAAATTTGTTGTTACTCTAAACCACTGAGATCTAAATCATTCTTTATACAGCAGTGTAAATTTAAGTCACCTATTATATCAGACCTAGATTTTTAGGATTCCTATTTCATAGCTTCCTCAATAATGATAAGAATGATGGTCATCATTGTCATCATCATCTCACTTTACTTTCTGGGCGCTTTGTCACTGGGCATGCCCAACATGGAAGCCATTTTGTGAAATGTGACTGCTTATAATTATGGTCTCCAAGATACTTTATTCCAAGTGCCAATTCATCCAAAAAGGTCAAACCCTTCTGCATACATAGCTCTACCCTCCATCCCATATTTGTTTGAGTGGTTGTCACTTATATTTATCTCTGAATATCTGTCACCTGTTTTCTGCATAATGGAGGTTCTGAACCTATTATGATTTCCATCCAAATACTTTTCAGAAGATGCTTGTTTGCAAATGGAGCAGTAATTCAATGTCTTGTAATGATAAATATGCAGAAATAAACCTAATGTACTGTTTCAAGATAGAAGAAACAAGAGAATAAACATAACAATTTTGACTCTTTAAAGCATTTTCCTCACATTTCCAGTAAATCAACTTCTGTGTGTGTATCCTGTGCTAGCAATTTGGAAATAGCCCATTTTTCCTTGGACTGATTGAAAAGCCTCAGATGAGTCCCAGATCCAAAGTTGACAGAATATTGTGACTCATCCACACTTCTACTAGTTATGCTATAATATTTTAATATCCCTAGTCTTAACTTCCCAACTACAATTACAATTGTCAATACTAGAAGAAGTGAACATTGTGTTGCTGTTTTTCTATCTAGCAAGATTTAGAAACAAGATTCACTAATTCCATTAGAGGACAAAATAGGGCACTCCATAAATAAATTAATCTTGCAACTTACTCCACTGCACTGCGGTCTTGTCATCCTTAGTGATGTTCCACTGAAATACAGCATTTATTTTCTTTCCCAGCTCATTTCCAATATCTTTGATACGGCGACCAATTTCTTCAAAAATAAGGTCACTCTGCAACTCTGTTGCCTAGCATATAAATTGAAGGATCTCTGAGAGACATTGTGATGGTAAAAATCCCCAAAATCCCCTTTATGTCCATATTATTCAAATCAACCACTTTCATATAATTTTATAGCCCTTTTTTAGGGTGTTACTAATATGAATAACTAAAATCAAAACAACATGAGACCAATATGCTGCAATTTACTAGATCAAGGGACACTTGAGACACTCCCTCACACCCTGGTCACCTTGCAGCTTGACTATTGCAATATGCAGTCTATGTGAGGTTGCCCTCAAAGATCACACAGAAACTTTAACTGGTCCAGAAAGTGGCGGTGCAGGCAGAGATAGGCATGCCTCCATATGCCCATGTGACACCTCTTCTCTGGGAGCTGCACAGGTTGCCAGTTTGCTTCCTGTTGTGATTCAAGGCATTGGCCATTACCTATAAAGCTCTACATGGAATAGGGCACAGCTACCTGAATGATGCCTGTCCCCCTAACTATCTGCCTGGCTACTTGGATCCAACAGGGTTGCCGCACTCCAGGCTCCTTCAATTAAACAGCGCCATCTATCAGGACCCTGGAAGTGCACCTTCTCTGTTGCAGCTCCTGTCCTGTGGAATGAGGTTCCTCTTGAGATCGGTGTAGCTCCCGCATTACTGGTGTTTTGGAGGGCCTTGAAGACTTGGCTCTTTGCCCAGGCCTTTGGCTAGGAAGGGTGCAGCTCCTTTTGAGGAATGTCTGTGTGTTTTGTTGCTCCCTAGATTTGCCATCTTTGTTTTTCAGTTCTTTTTTATTGCTGTACTGTTTTTATTATTTTATGGTTTTAATGTTTTCTTGTGAACTGCCCAGAGTCATTGGGAATTGGGCAGTGTGCAAATCGAAACAGAAATATGTAAGGGAATAGTAGAAACGTACCAAATTTTAAGGTAAATGGTTATGGGAAATTACTATGCAGATAACCTTTTTGCCTATCACACAGCTTCTAAAGACACACCTGGAGTATTTTTGGATCTTGTAGCAACCAAATATATCGGCCCACTTATTGAATGGCATCCATCAATGAAAGGAATCCTTCATATTTTCTTCATGATCCTGTGCACCTCTAGGATGATTTGGGTAAATGTAGGGTATAGATACGCAAGTCCACTTCACTAATAGTAGTGTTCTCACACACTACTGGATGTAGCCCATTAAGTTTAAGTGGCGTGAAACAAGTTTTTAAAGTATTTTTTTCAGCTGAAATATGCAGATTATCCTGCCATACACCACAGAAAGTACCAAGTGAGTGCCCCACAGTCCAATACTATTGGACTGAGAATACACCATTCTTATATACTTCCATATTTCTTAGCCTTGATGGCTGCAGCAGAAAGCTCATAGGTTCAATTCAGAGAATACAAGAGAGTTCTCTTGTGGTCTCTTAAGAGACCACATAACTACCAAGATGAATGGCTAAATGTTAAATAAATCTCCTTTCTCTCCTGATGCAGAGGCAGAATTCTCATAGAGCCAATAAACAGATATTGGCTGCGTGTAAACAGGCAACAGAATTTGGCTTTTTTTGTGGAAGTACAAATGCAATATACAAAAACTGTTGTTACTGCTCTGAACACAGAGCACACACAAACCTGGAGGCCAGCATACCAAGAGACTACTTATGTTTTCCCTACCTTAGCTGAAGGTTCCTTAGCTGAAGGCTGGATAGAAGATGACACCAGATCCACATATGCTCCTCCAATTGCAACATTCCCAGTCTCTTTGACCTGTAAAAAAAAAAATGAAAGCGAGTTTTTCACCACCAAGATATCACAATTACAAGCAGTGTAATTGCTATGCTTTATATCAATTGAGAAACCCTCTTCATACCTTTCATTGCACAATTTAGGTCAGCAAACAAAACAACAGTGTAAGGGAAATGAAGGAGTGAAATAATTAGAAATCATTAAAAGCTAACCCTCCTAAATATAGAACAATTGTTCTTGCAACTATTCGTGATAATTCAAATAGTGAAAGAAAATTTATAATTACTGACACAATTATAGATAAAATCCCATGCACAGCTGTAGTCTTAAATGTAGATGTATCAAAGAACAGGCTGCATATTTTAAGCAGGCCACAAATGGAACAAGAAGTTTCCAGCATTTAATAAACTGCAGCCATTTAACTTGGAATCTGTTTTGTTTGTTTCAATAAAATATACTTTATGTTTTTCAAAATCTTTATTTACTTCAACAGCTCTGCAGCAATAGCTCTTCTCGGCTTGCTCTGCTTCTTTGGGCTTTTCATCAAAGTACAGGAAGGAAGGAAAAGTGTTTTAGAAAAATAGAGATGAATGAAAAATAAAATTTGGGGGGGGGGTGATGCCAAGGGACTCAAAGCCAGGAGCAGTATCAACAAAGCCTATTTACATGTATTTTTTTAAAGGCCAACAAAGTCTAAGTGCACCTTTTAAGAGAAAAGAGATTCAAGCACATGAAACACAAGCTTTTAAAAAACTATTCTAATTCTTTTTTCCCAGATTTTCAATGTAAGTTTAAAAGACAGGATAATAATACCATCATGGCTCCAACCCAATCTCATCAATGGCCATACATGCATCTACAGTAGATCAATATCTAGATCTTTCTTATTTTACTCTTGAACACTGCTTCTCTATCACACAAGCAACAGCAGCTTCACAGGTGGTAATGGAGGACTGCCTAGAATGCCAACCACTTGGAGATATGAAACTATTCAGCTTTGAAACTGAAAAAAATATTAGTGTAGGCAAGTCACCTCAACCTGGTACCTAGACATATGCTGGGCAACTCCTACTATTCTTGGTCACGATAACAGGGATTGTAGCACACAGCATGCCCAGAAGGCATAGTGTAAGGTTAAAGGGAAAAAGGAGGAGGAGGAGGAGGAGGAGGAGGAGGAAACCCATACTGTACATTTCTGTTTATTCCCCCAATGAAATCAGTGGGATTTATACAAACAAGTAACAAGACTTTACTTCATGACACTGACCTTGGTTTGAAGAAGAATTCTATTTCCTTCCTTCCACATTTCTGTTTGCAAGGTTTGTCCTGGGAAAACTGGTTTTGCAAAACGAATCTACCATAAGAAAAAAAAAATCAGAGAGATTAAATATAGATAAAACATAATTGCATAGTACAAACATTAGCCTTTGCAAGTTTCCCCTCTTTTGGTACAAGAAGTGACATGTAAGAAATATATAAAATGCAGACTACACAATTTTGTTGTGAAGATTCTACATAACTTCATCAAGCCAGTAGTAAATGGCATCTGAGGCCTTCTGGGCTAGACACTGTTATCTGGGCCATGTTTGATATGCCTGGGACAACGGGTCTTTACTGGCAGAGACTGTTCTTTGTCCTACTGCAAAGGTCTCTTTTTTTTTTTTTTAATAAAAGAATATCTGCATGTAGAAGATCAAAACTGAAAACAACTTCATGGAAACTTCGTAAGGCACTTTGGAATATGTAAACTCTATTTGACAATTAATGAAAAGCAAGAAATATTACATCAACAGTTCAAAAAGAAAATGTGACTGATTCATATTTGTACATTTGAGGCATGTTTGGAAATTTAATAAAGAAAACTAGAGCATATAAAAGTACTATCAAAATTAAGTCTCGCTGTGGGAAAATTGTCGTGATTGGATATTACAATAAGCCACAACAGTAAAGAGCTTGAATTATCAAGAAATCCACTCATTTCTTCCTGCAGTCAGGAGAAGCTCAAAAATCATGACAGCTCCATGCTTGCTTTATCGACACAGGGGTAGAAAATCTATGGTCCCCAGATATTGCTGAATGGCAACTCAATGGTGCATCAGCCAGTGTGGCCAATGATAAAGGGTACTGGCAGCGATAATTCAGAAACATCTTAGGAGCCACAGGTTGGGTGTACCAAACTGGAAATTCAGCCTTGTTCATTTACAAAAAAAAAAAAAAGAATAGTCACTTAAAAATCAAACTATGGCTTACAGTTCTGGCTTGTTCAAATAGCATACTGTTCATACTGTAATCTGAGCTTCTCAACGTATTAGAGCATGGTTGACACCCTAGATTTTATGCAGCTACTGAATGTGCTTTTCAGACTTCAGGAACTGCATTTAAGAAAAGTAATCTTCTATATTTAATGAAAACACGAACACATACAGACCTTAATTGCCTTGAATCTGGTCACATCGTTATTAGCAAAGTGTTTTAAAACATGTCTGGCAGCAAATCCCAAAGTACACAGTCCATGCAATATGGGCTTCTGAAATCCTATTAGGAAAGCACAATTTTTCTAAGAGTTTATTTTCTATTTACATCTCTACGTTTAAACATGCACTCTAGAGATCACGTCTGTTCACTGTTTTACAATCCCATCCATACTCACGCATGCACACACACGCACACATACACAGTTAGAACCTACCTGCCAGGAAAAGCACTGAAATTAGTACAGATGGTTAAATAAAATAATGGCAATATAGCAGGCTGCTAGCTAAAGGACTGTAATCCAGTCACTCCCCAAAGCCTCCACTGGTGCATAACACAGCAGCCAGTTTGCTAACCAGGATTCACAGGCTGGAGCTGGAGAAAACAACAGGTATACATCATTTGATCAAAGCGTCCCTTATGCAGTGTTCCTATCCATGAAGATACCAATGGGAAGCCAACGAACAGGCCATGGCTACAATAGCACAGCTGTGGTTTTATAACTAGGAGTTAGAAACAGCATTATCCTCTATGAGTTTGTCCAATCCCCCTTTAAAACCACCTGAGGTGAAAGCCGGCAATACATCTTGCAGTAGAAAGTTCCTTTATATTTCAGAGAAATAAAAGATACTGTGCAGAGTAATTCTGGATATATTTAAAAGCTGGGATCTTTAAATGTCTTGACTTGCATTGTATGAAGGACAATCTTCTCTTTTAGGAAACTGCTTCTTCATTATGATCTGCTTCCTGGGCGTCCTCATCTTCAGAGATTAGATAGACGGCAGCCAGAAAGTGAGTCAAAATGTATGCTTGGTGACTCCCTGTTTATGGAACAGCTTTTCCAAGGACACAACACTCATTTTATTGGGGGGTTTTTTTGGCATTAGATAAAAATAGTAATTTCTCCCAGCTTTCAATGTTTGATTGTTTTAATCAGGACTTCTACAAGTTAATTTTAGATAAATTTAGTTTTCTCAATGGATTCAGTATTTCTTTTGATGATTGACTATAACCTTAAGGAACAGTAAAATGCATATTTTTACAAACAAAATAAATAAAAGTTATTACTGATAAATTTAAAACAGTTTTATTTCATACCTCTATAAACACCACTGTGGTTTACATACAGTAAGAGAAAAACATACTTCAAGCAACTTATTGTAATTTTATTCCAGTGGAAGGACACTGTTTGCTACAATTCAAACAGTTTCAAACTTAATTATAATTTTAAAAAATGAAATTAAAAAAAAAAAGCAATAGTCATTCGTCTTTTGGAGAAGCTACTCAAACTCACCTCCAAGGGCTGCAAACCCAGGATCAATGTGCAAGGGATTCCAATCACCACTAAGCCGATACAAGGCAGCCTACGGAACAAAATTCATTTGAAAATCATCATGATAAACAAATAAAAAAATAAAATCTTACAACATTTTTTTCTTGTGGCTTAGAGCAGAATTTATTCCAAAATGCATTCATTTGCAAGGCAATTTACAGTTGCCTACCCACACTGATTGGAAATAGTTAAAGTAACTAACATTGTAAAAGCCATTAAAAACACACACAACAAATTTCAAGAAACAGAAGCTAAGCAGGAGGTGTCTGCTATAAGCCATACCACTGGTACTGTAGTATACCCTAACAGGCTCAATTCAGCTGCATTTTTCTGGCAGAGCAGTCAAGCCAGAATGAATACAGACATGGAAACTGTCCTGTGTTTCCATCCTCCAGAACTGATTGATGCAGTGTGTGAACATATGTCTGCCTGCTTGGGCCAAGAGGGCTGGGTTGGTACAGAGTGAGAGATGGAGAAAGTTTCTGTAGAATCTGACTTTGAATCAACTCCCCAACCACAACAATAATATGCAATAAAATGCTGCTGGAACGCTCTTATTTAAAGTTTCAACTAAGCTAGCAATGCCCTTTTGCAGGACACTCTCTTCCACATGCTCTATTTGACCTTTTTTCTCTTCACAATGCCCAGCTAAGTGATAGCACTTATCTGGCCTGAACTGGTTTCAGGGAAAAAAAGAAAAACAGATAAGAAGGGTTGGACTGGTGAATACTTAGAGGGGAGATCTCCAGAACATCCCAGGGCTTTAGGCTAGAGAGAAGTTCCAAATCTTGGAAGAAGGCACTAGCAAGCCGCTTCTCTATTATTGTCATGAAACCACATAAACATCATAAGGTCACTAACCATCAAGTTCAGCTTGAAAGAATCTTTACCTTTGGTTCCATAATAATTAGGCCCCGTCTCCTGTCCAAGGAGAATGATTAGTATTCATTGGATTTAGATTTGAAGGAGAGAGCAAATGTTATTTGGAGTATTACAAACCTTGAGGTTTCCTAAGCCTTCAGGTATCTTCCTCTTGTGTGTAATTAGTTTTCTTTTTGCTACAGGGGCTGACACTTGGAGAACAAGTTTGCTATTAATGCACACACACACGTATGTGCGCATGTATGTATATGTGTACATCTATATCTATATCTATATATCGCAACATAGCTATATAGAATTCATGTTAAAAGGCACTTCAAAATCAAGAGGGATGTTATAAATATAACCAACAGCAACATTTTGGCATCTTTTTCTTCCATGGAAACCTTTAGCATTCATGCCACTCTTTATTTCTTTTCTATCCTCAGATTGACCCCATGGGCAGAGAATATTCTTTAGGCACACATTAATATTGCTTTTCCATAAGCTATGTAAAACTGAACAAACCTTAAATTTATGCATCATGTTTCTTCCTGATATTTCAAATCCTGTTTGTTACTGCATATTTATGCATTTTCAGCTTAAGAATTGCTATTAATTTTAGAAAAGCTAAGACTCTGGGTTTTGCTGTATAAACTGTTGACAAGATGACTGTCACATGAAAGAACTCAATGGGATCAGATCTGCAATGCTGTTAAGCTGTAACTCCAGAGGAATCACTTAGATTTTTATATGTGATCCTCCACAGAAGCAGTTCATTAAAAAAAAAAAATCTGTATTACAGTATTATCAGATCATCTGTGTCAGGGAGCATATTCACTAAATTCCACATGTGAACAGAATAATTAATTATAAATATAGTGACACAGTAATCGGATCCAAAGAGACGTATGTGGTCCATATCTTTGGTCTACAAATTGCATCACCATTCAATGGGGGATAATGGCAGTCCAACATATCTGGAGGTTGATGAAGGTTGACATACAGTTTGAGTGAACCTGCTCATCTGTTAGTATATGTGACTTTGCCATATAATCAAGGCATTTAGGACTAGCAGAGAGCAGACAGCATTTATGTTGTTTCTTGTGGTAGAACTAGGGTGTATAAGAAGAATGTAAAACTGTTCCAGAAGCACTATATTCCTATCAAGCAAACACACAATTCACTTTTTACAAATTGCTATGTATAACTAGGCATTTCCAAGTTGGTTAGTTAATGTTCATGCCTCCAAAATCACTTATGCTGTATGGGGAGTGAGCCTTTCAAATTCTGCCTTAATTAAAAGTAAGTAATTTAAAGCATACATAGAATTTGCAAAAGTGAATTGAAAAACAAAAGAAAACAACCTCAGCAACTTCTGCATTCCCGCAACAATGATATTTCCTAACATTTCAACAGCATGTAAAAATGGATCTCTCTTTGGACCATGACAAAAATCAAATCATTAGGAGCACTAGACTGAAGTCAGTTGTGATAAGGTTGGATTGTTCTCCAATTAATAACAGAAACTGTCAAGTTTTATTTCCTAACAATTTAATAGTTCTGCCAGATCAAAAGTGGAAAGACAATATTCAACCTGTCTGGACCAATTTTTCAGTATTGCCAGCTGTCAACAATAAAGGTCACTGGCAAAACTAACATAAATTGAAGCCAACAATAGAATCATACATTATTTTATGAATGAGAGAAAATGAGTCAGCCTTTCTCCCTCTCTTGCTGATAAGTAAAAATTGTTTTAATCAAATATATTTTCAGATCTAGAATAAAGCATACAATCATAGCGGCATAGCATAGATAAGTAATTAATAAGGCTAAATTGGAAGATATTATGTAGATCCATAACTGAATTTCTTGTTTCTTTATGCTTTGATAAACAGCCATTCTGCACCTATCTGGTGGAGGATCACCATTCTGAGGATGTAGTTAATACTTTTTCTTGTGGTGCTTTAAAAAAAAAAAAACACTGAAAATTCCTGTCTTCCCTTAATTATAAATATAATATAGCAATGGAAGTGTACACATGACATTTTATAGACAGATCTTCATATTAAAAACTGAAAGAAGCTAGGTGGATGGGAGTATTATGTGGACCTTTTCTCCTCTGCTTATCCATTCTTGTGTTATAGGTGAATGCCTGAACAAGGCTAGATTCTCGTAATATCTCACTATCAGTCTAAAAACACAACTACAAAGGACTATATTTTTGGCTATAGTAAGGGCACGGAGAATCCATTTAACACTGTCCAGATGTCAAATTCCATGTATTAGGTATATAGTTCAAAAGAATATTATCCTCTAAAAATTTTAGCTTTTGTTGCACAATCAGATTTATATAGTCTGCTACTTTCCCCCAAAACTTAATAAGTATAGGATATTGTAAAAACATATGCTTTAAAGAGGCATTGTCCTTATTATATCTCCAACAAAATGCTGCTTTTGGCAATCCTTTTCTATACAAATGTAATGAAGTTCAATAAATTCTAAATATTGTTTTTTGTTGTATAGTTTAAGGTCCATTGACACTCTTGCTATAGAAGTTAAGACACTTTCCCATTGTCTAGGCAATATAGAAACTCTA